AGGAGGTAAGTGTAACCATTTGAAGGAGGCCATGGGCGTACCAAATCTAAGTGTACATGATCAAAACGTCCTACAGGAAGGTTAAATTGTTGAGTGTGACAAGATACTTTACAGCGTTGACATCTTATACATGAACGAGTCCATTCTGTGACGTCCTGGTTCACTGCTGACCAGACAAATCTGTCTGCGATTAGCTTTTTGGTGGATCGGATTCCAGAATGTGCCAAGTTGTGCAAGGCATTAAACACTTCACGTCTAAAATTGACAGGAATATAGGGACGTATTCTATTGTTCTCTATGTCACAGTAAATTTTAAGCGTTGGATCAATGTGCAGCGGTTGTAACTGAAGGGAGGTTTGTGGATTTGAGATTAGATTCTTGAGTTCCTCATCATGCAATTGAGCTTTTGCAATTTCAGAGAAATTTCAGAGAGAGTAGTGAGGTTGATATTGTTTACCCGAGACAAGGCATCAGCGACACAATTATCAGTACCAGAGACATATCTGATATCTGTACTAAACTGGGCGATGAAATCCAGATGTCGAAGCTGACGAGGAGAACATGAGTCAGAGTTTTTTCTAAAAGCGAAGGTTAATGGTCGATGATCGGTGAAAATGATGAAGTCGTGTCCTTCCAAGTTGTGCCGGAAGTATTTAACAGCACAGTACACAGCAAGTAGCTCCCTGTCATATGTGCTGTATTTCCTTTCTGCAGTAGTAAGTTTTCTGGAGAAGAATGCCATTGGGGAAAGTCCTTTAGTGGTATGGGCTTGAAGCACTGCTCCTATGGCCGTGTCAGATGCATCTACCATTATAGAGAGCTGCTTGATGCATTGCACGAATGCTGCAGATGCAGATTCAGTCCAAGGGACAGCTCGTTGATCGTTTTTTTTGCTATTCTTCAGAAACTCATGTAGGCAGGCTTGTGTTTTTGCGGCATTTGGCAGAAAGCGTCGGTAGAAATTTAACATTGCTAGAAAACGCTTCAGTTCAGAGATGGTTTTGGGCTGAGGTAGGTCGTTAATTGCTTTGACTCTTTCCGGTAAAGGTTTTGACTCCATTCTGGGTGATAAGACATCCAAGAAAGGAAACTGAGGGTTGACCAAGTACACATTTGGATGGATTTAGTTTTAATCCATGATCTTTAAGGCGAGTGAAAATCTGACGCAGATGTTGAAAATGTTCTTCGCACTGTTGTGAAAAAAAGAGATAGAGGGCGCTGCGCCGCCCGTATGGCTAATAAGGTTGGGAGAAGTTGAAGGTTGAGCAAGTGGTATAATATTTGTACATAGTCTTCTCTTCATTAAATAGATTTAGTTAAAGGAAAGTGTCTTTGTTTGGCCAATAGAACACAAGAACCACCGATAAAGAAGATGTAAGTAAGTTATTACATACATCAAGTTTTTGGTAGCATCAGGCCAGAAGGTGAGTCATTTCATTTATCTGCATGCAATTTATCTTTGATAATGAGTTTTGAAGAAACCGTCGAGAGAAATAGAAAAATTAGAGGTTCGGTTCGTACCAGTGTAACAAAATTAATAAGGAAATTAGATGAGGAATTGCAAAGCGAGAATCCGAACCTAGAAGTGTTGCAGGAATCGCTTTCAGTGTTAATCGAGAGAGAAACTAGCTTGTTAAAATATGATGAAGTTATTAATGCTCAAAGCACTGTTCAGGAATTAGAGACAGAAGTAGAACATTGTTTAGAATACAGCGAATCCATCATTAGATGTAAATCTAAAGTCAATAGATATATTCAAAATGTGGGTAAAACCGGAACAACTTCACAAGTTTCGGAAATCAAAACTAATTATAATACTAAATTGCCTCGCATTACCTTAGAAACTTTCAGCGGCGATTTATGTAAATTTACTGAATTTTGGGCTCAGTATAAAGCTGCCATTCACGAAAACAATACGCTTCAAGATGTTGAGAAGTTTAACTATTTAAGATCTTTACTCACCGGTTCAGCTGCAAAAGCTATAAGCGGATTGCCATTAATAGGAGAAAACTATATAAAGGCCATCGAAATCTTAACTGACAGATTTGGGAAAAAAGAAATATTAGTTAGCGCGCATATGAACGTTCTCCTAGCTTTAGAGCCAGTACGCCGATCAAGTGATGTATCCAGTTTAAGAAAACTATATGATGAAATAACAGTTCAAACAAGAAGTTTAGAGACATTAGATATTAATTTTAATTCTTACGGCAATCTATTACTTCCTATTTTATATAAGTGTATACCGCAAGATTTAGTGTTACAGTTTAGTAGGGAGCAAAAGGTCGACACAGAGTCAACAGTGTCAGATTTATTGTTGTTTCTAAAGAGAGAAGTAGAAGCGCGCGAAAAGTCACTAACTCTGGGTCTTAAACAACAAACACTTTCGATAACCAGTGAAAGAAATACCGACAACTATCGTAAGAGTGTTGCTCCAATTAAAAAGAAAATGGTATCAGCGGCGACGCTTAATACATCAGTCGAAAATTATATGTGCGACTTTTGTCTTAAATCTCACCTCTCAAAAAAAAAGACTGCGACTTAAGTATTTCAGAGAAACACAAAGCATTATACGATCAATTTAAGTGCAAGCGCTGTTTAAAAAAGGGTCACAAAAAACCCATTTTGTAAGGCAAAATGGGTTAAATGTAATATTTGCAAATCTTTGTCGCATTTAGAGAGCCTGTGTGATGCAGAAGGGCAAGAAAATAAATCCATTAAAAATACTGCGAGCGCAGCAAAAGAGACAAACGTTAGTTCACTATTCCTCGAAACACTGAGCAAGCAAATTCCTAATGACGTGATTTATTATCAAACATTGAGAGGTCAACTGGTAGGAAATAATTCCACATTTAACGTTAGGTTGTTATGCGATTCAGCTTCCGAAAGATCTTATGTTTGTCAGTCTATTTCCAGAAAAGCAAGTTTACCAACTATTGGTAAAGAAAGATTAAGAATTCATACATTTGCATCTTCGAATCCGCCAGTGCGAGAATTTAAAAGAAAAAGACTTTCTCTAAAAAATAAGACAGGGTTCACTCTAATCATCGAAGCACTCGAAGTAAAAACCATATGTTCCAATGCATTACCCAGGCCATCTGCAGAAATTATAAACAATCTTCGCCAACAAGGATTTCACTTATCTGACAGCTGCGATAGTGAAGTGGCAGAGGTACAGATTTTAATTGGGAATGATTACTTGAACTGCATCTTAACGGGGAAAACACATCGGTTAACAGACTATTTAGTACTGCATGAAAGCATATTCGGTTGGACGTTGAGTGGTAGAGTGGGGGGAGAGAGTAAGAAGTTAAGTTCAGGGTCAGACTCCACCGGCTTGTTTATACACATCGATTCGGAAGAGGAATTAAAAATATCGGAACAGATTCGTCAGCTTTGGGAGATTGAAAGTCTAGGAATCTCTGAGTGCGCGTCGGAAAGGGGTTCTGGCGATGAGCGAATAATTAAACAATTTGAAGAGGATTTGAAATATGTAGACGGGAGGTATGAGGCTCGCTTGTTGTGGAATAGGAGTCCAGAGCATTTGGAAAATAATTTTGGTTTAGCGAAAAGGCAGTTCGAAAGGGTGCAGCGAGAGTTAAAAGGTAACAGCTTTGTGAGGGAACAGTTTATGGAAATAATTAAATTTCAGACACAAAACAACATTATTCAAGAGTGTGAGGATACGAGAGAGGGGTACTTTATGCCATTCCGAGCAGTGGTCCGTAAAGATAAAAAAAGCACTCAAGTTCGAATGGTATTTAATTGCAGCAGTTGCGAAAGAGGAAAGCTATCGTTAAACGATTGCTTAGAAAAGGGCCCAAACCTAAATCCGAATATTTTGGATATCATTCTTTCCTTTCGAAAATTTAAAATTGGATTCTGCGGTGACATAGAAAAGGCGTTTTTGATGATTGGGATAGCAAGGGAAGATAGGCAATATTTAAAATTTCTCTGGTATCCTGATAATGACAGTGAGGACTTTAAAATTATGCAAATGAACAGAGTATTATTTGGATGTAATTGTTCACCGTTTTTATTGAGTGCAACGATCAAACATCATTTAAAGAAATATGCGGAAACAAACAAAAACTGTGTCGAGATGCTAAATAGCTCACTGTATGCAGACGATTTGTGTTATGGAGGGGAAAGTGTAGAATCAGCTTTCAGTCTTTCATCAGAGGCGGTATCTATTTTGAGAGACGCGAGTTTTAATTTGAGAAAGCTAAACACTAATTCTAAAGAGCTGTATGACTTGTGGGTTCAGGAAGGGTTGTGTGAAGAAAGTAGGTCTGAGAGAGAGAGTAAGTTGAAAGTGTTAGGCTTGGCGTGGAACTTAGAAGAGGATGGTTTGAGAGTAGACGTTACATCATTGTTGAGTAGTTTAGAATCGTTGAGAAATAGTAAAAGATCGGTGTTAAGCACAGCAGTTAAGGTGTTTGACCCAGTCGGATTTATTTCTCCATTTGTGGTGCGAGTTAAGAGACTGATGCAGGAAATATGGGAGAGAGGTTTGGAGTGGGATGCAGAGTTGCCAAAGGAGTTACGGTGCAAATGGATAAAGTGGTGCGCTGAAATTGAGGAATTAAACGCGTTGAAAATAGAGAGGTACTACTTTACAGAAGTTCTAAGTAAAGGTCAGTCGGTTGAAATTCATATTTTCAGTGATGCGTCAGTAGTGGCATATGGAGCGGTGGCATATTTTAGATATAAGAATGAGAGAGGAGAGGTATGTACGTCGTTTATAATGTCGAAGAGTAGGATAGCTCCGTTAAAAAAGTTGTCCCTCCCTAGGTTGGAATTGATGGGGGCTGTAGTTGCAGCTAGGTTAGGAAAATATTTATTGAAAAAACTATTTCAGGATTTGGTAGGTAGGTTAGTTCTGTGGACGGACTCCGAAATTTGCTTGTGGTGGATAAAGGGGTCAGCGCGTGAGTGGAAGCAGTTCGTGTCGAATAGAGTTGCAGAAATACAAGACTGTACCTCGCCTGATAAGTGGAAATATGTCCAGGGTCCAGCAGAAATTAACTCGTGGTGAAACAGCAAATGCATTGGTGAAAGATAATAACTGGTGGCATGGTCCATCATGGTTGAAAGATTCTGAAGATCAATGGCCTGAGCAGAAGTTTAAAGTAGAAACTGATACTCAAAATTTGGAACGTTTAAGCACTTATGTTCAGGTGACTATTCCAGAAGAAGAAAATGCGTTAGACATTACCAAATTCAGCAGTCTCGAAAAATTGTTGAGAGTTACAGCTTGGGTAAAGCGGTTTGTCGCCAAGCTAAGAAAACGTGCCTGTGAAGAAGGTCCTCTTACTGTATTGGAGATCCAAGAAGCTGAGGAGTACTGGATAAAACAAGTACAGAGAGCGAATTACTTTTCGGATATTCAACAACTAGAGAGGAATAATCTAATAACACCAGATTCTAAGCTTTACAGTTTAGCACCATATCTGGACAGTAGAGGTATTTTGCGTGTCAGAGGTCGTTTGGAACAAGCAGAATTAATAGATGACGAAAAACATCCCATTATTCTGCCCAAAACGAAGTTCACCGAACTAGTGATATTTAGTGAACACATAAAAGTATTCCATTCAGGAGTCATGGCAACATTGTCCAAAGTCAGGAATAAATTTTGGATACCTAAAGGAAGACAAGTAGTAAAGAAAGTTATTAACGCTTGCCTGGTGTGTAAAAAGTTCGCAGTGAAGCCCGCCAAACAGTTAACGGGTCAGTTACCCAGAGATCGTGTAGTCCAAAGTAATCCTTTCACAGTTGTAGGCATCGACTTAACGGGAGCAGTTACTATTAGAGAAAAGCGGATAACCACAAAAAGGTGTACATAGCCTTATTTACATGCGCCGTCACTCGTGCTGTACACATTGAAATGGTTTCAGATATGTCAGCAAAAAGTTTCATTTTTTCATTACGACGTTTTTAGCAAGAAGAGGGAGCTGCAAAGTAATTTATTCAGATAATGCCAAGAATTTCCGCAGCACATGTGAAATAATTAAAGGATTTAAAAGAATCAAAGCAGATCCAAGTGTGAGTGATTTCTTGACATCCAAAGAGGTAACATGGAAATTCATACCTGAGCGTTCCCCATGGTGGGGAGGGTTCTGGGAGCGTTTGATGAGAAGCATCAAGGAACCTCTGAAGAAAATCTTAGGGAGAGCATTACTGACTTTCGAAGAGCTCTCTACAATATTAACTGAACTCGAGTGTGTGCTAAATAATAGACCTCTAACATACGAGAGCAACGAGCTGGGTGAACCTCGCCCGCTCACACCTTCACATTTTTTTATTGCCAGGACGTGGTACATTTAACTTTCCCGAGCATTTCTTGGAAATTTTTAACAAGGTATCCGACAAAGAGACTTTAACCAGGAGGAAGCTTTACCAATCTAAGCTCTTAAAATTAACATGGATCAAGTGGAAAGAGCAATATTTACTCCATCTTAGAAATGCGCATAACTTTGCTAATCCTAAAACTGAGCGGAACCTTAAGACTGGAGACGTTGTGTTGGTAGAAGGACCAAAACAATCCAAACTACTTTGGGACATGGGTGTAATTGAAAACGTGATTATAGGAAGAGATGGACATGTTCGAGCGTGCCTTGTTCGCACGCCCAAAGGACAATTCAGAAGATCGATCCAGATGTTATATCCTTTCGAGATTTAATTTAGATAGAACTTTTGATATTATTGAGTTTTATTATATTATTAATTATTATGTTCATTTGTGGCTTTGATATATACTAGTATAGATTATTCTTTTATATTATTCATTTATATATGTCATACCATTTAGTATTAATCCATTATTAATTAATGTTGATATTGTTATGTAAGTAAGTTTGTGTACTCTTATTAAAGAGTACAGGTGGGGAGTGATGTAGAAAAAAGAGATAGAGGGCGCTGCGCCGCCCGTATGTTTAGCTAATTAAGAGTTTTCGGCAGAGAGGGTTGAGAGGTTGATGAGAGTGGTTGAGAGTGACATAAACTAGATACTCTGTAATCTGTATATAATATTTGTACATAGTCTTCTCTTCATTAAATAGATTTAGTTAAAGGAAAGTGTCTTTGTTTGGCCAATAGAAACACAAGAACCACCGATAAAGAAGATGTAAGTAAGTTATTACA